TTCCGTAAGAACGATCGGCGAGCGCCCCAACCAGTGCTTAATTTGTCACGGAGCTTACAGGCATGTCGGAGACCAGCAGAAGCAACTGTTCCATTGGGTTGTCATTTTTAGTCACGGTACGTGGTGTGAGGGAGCGCCTGAGCAATGACCGCCTGCAGCAAATTAGCAAAGAACATGTTAATTGGTATAACGCTTTCGCCGCTCCGAGGGTTTTAACACGAGGCACAGACATACAGTAGACGGGGGAAAGGTGCTAAGTGAGCAGAAGGTGATACGGGTAAACAGGCCTGTTCGCAGCTAGAGTAGTCGACTGCCATAGTGCCCCCATCGAAGTCGAGGACAGCATTAAACGATGCAAAAGGACTTGTCCGCGCCTAAAACACAGGATTAATGAAGGCGGATGTAGCCCCACCCGTGCGTAGTAAAGATGCAAACGGACGATGGGTGGTGAACTGTGTGCCGCGACGCATAGTACGGCGAAACAATGGCCCGTCTCGTGACCATAGACAGCATTACTGACCCATAAGTCAGGTGCAGCATTTCTGCAACCTAAGATCTGGTAAGTGCAGGCTTCTCTGGTCTTGAAAATGGATAGTCAAAACCTTTGTTGGAAATCTGAAAACAGAAATAAGTTTCTTCCACTGGACGCCACTCCTTATTTTGAGAAATGTGTGGGCTTTCGAGGGCGGAAACGGACGCTCCCACCTTGCTTTGACACTGTCTACAGCTGACTCAGGCAGTCGCGTTACAGCTTACAATCATTGAGAACAATTGCCGACAGATATATGAGCATTGAATTGGGATCGTCTGGGTTGGCCGCGCAATCAGCCACCGATTATTCGGGCGAAGGTGCCGGCGCATGTGAGGCTCGACGCCAGGTCCACTCGGTCACTTGAGCTACCGAACCGGTCCTCTGTTGACTGAGATGAAGAATATGGAAATCTCGAGTCGGATCCCCCCCAACGAAGTTCTGCCCCAATGACACTTGGGTGTAAATTTATCCCCCAATATCCCCTGCTACCTTCATGTCAAAGTCCTTTCCAATACATTAGTCTTTGCCTCTTAACTTATGAAATTAACGTGTTAACTCTTAGCAGACTAGTTGGGATGAAGGTTCACAGGTTCAGTCCCGAAGACGTGTCTATCCCCTTGACTCATACTTGTCAGAATCGCAAAAATCACAGGAAAACACCACTCACAGTTCTCATCGCAGTCGACTTAAGGGTCCCCATTATGTCCCTTGATCCCTTATCTGACAGTTTGGAGACATCCACATTTTTTTCCTCCTGCATTATCTGCCACCTTTGCTGCTTTCATGCAAGCGGATATCCTCATCCCCAGACGCACTCTTTGCATATTGTTGTCGGTGTTTGTTATTTCAGACACGGTACCCCACGGCGATCAGACACCTTGGTCGAATTCTCGACAATTGCGCATCCTCTTCGCCCTAACCCAACTGCCATTAAGTCAATCCGTTCACATCGGGGTAGCTTCCCCTATCGTCTACCGCATATCGACGTCTGGACGTCCATTTCTGCCGTCCTTAGCACATTTTCTGACATTTAATGAGGCTGAGGGGGGGGGGAGGCGGAAACTACGCTTCACGCCGCAACCACAGACTTCTTCAATGCCAAGCACTTGAACACTTTGCATATTTGCCATGGCGACTGGATAACATTCCTACCGAGACGTTTGAATATCCATCCTGATTACGAGATGGAAGCATCTACTCATACCTGTAGCGGCCTTAACTTGCTACCTCCCCACTCAGTGCCGTAACTGCGCTAAGGCGCTCTGTTTACATTTCGGTTGCGTCGAGTATCCGCAAAAGGTGGATTGTGTGCCCTTGTATGGAACTGATGACCAAACGACTTCCAAAAACGAAGCGGCACCACCGCGGTATTAAAGTTTCGTTCATTAACGACCACCGACAGGAATCTAGTTTGACTTTACTCAGAGGCGAGCAATTCTCGAAGGGGAAGATCATTGTTATTAAGACGACGCAGACAGGTAAAATTTTGTTACAGAGTAATTCACAACAATAAAAAATAGTAGTAGCAAAGTGAAATGCTTGAATCTGTTACAGTGGGCCCGTTATTTGAGTGTCACCGTTTGTTAGTCCGCTTTCGACCAAATCGAGCCGTTGAACTAAGTTTGGAACAGGAAGGACAGAACCACTCGCCCTTGGGAGCAACAACCAAGCCAACACAATTGTAATGGAACCACTCAAAGGGACAGTTTGGTGCATCACAGGCAATCATATCGCCGTAACTGACATCGTGACAGAAGCAGTAGCGTCGCTGGTCCTCTTTGTTCTCGGTGGCGACTGAATGCATCGTCTCTCGTTTAACTGCACTGATACGCGGTGATCCGTGCAGGGACTTTCGATAATCACCCTCTTGCTGCGATCCACTAGCAGCCACCGGAGGTTTCGAGTGCGCTTCAGCAGAGTAGGCAGGACGCGTCATCAAGTCATGGTCAGAAGACTCGTCGTTGGAGTCAGTCTGCGACCCTAAACGGCTCGGTCGCCTGCTTGTCCTCGAGGCACGCTTTTCACGACCTATGGTGCCGTGACTAGATTGAGAACCAGTGCTGTGCAAACGACCGGGCTCTCCACTTACAGCCGCACTAGAGCTGGGGAACCAGCTGTGTCGGGGACTCTCGCCGGCACCCGTGCGTCGAGCAACAAGCTTTGGTAAGCCAGGTCTGCTGGAAGCCTGTTGTTGAAGTACACTCGGCTCTGGTGAACCGCCGGAACGTGGAGTCGTCTTGTCCCGAGGTGTGTACAAGGGATCTCGGGGATGTCGTGGTTCAACCAATAAGTCATCCACGGACTGATCGTTGATAGGATACGAAAGATTGTTGCTGATATTCGTCATGCTGATTGCCTCATTGTCTGAAGAGACAAACGGAGAACATCCAGGTTCGTAGCCGTGAAGAAGCCTTCAAAGAAAGATGAACCGTTTAGATCTGACAGTGCATGGGTGGGTGAGACAAAATAGAGCAAGTCAACTGTGCCCCCCTGTAGTTCCTGAATTGTCAGCACTATTCACATACTAACCAAAATCTTGACAGTCAACCCACCTATTGAAAAGCTGGCATTGCACCTGAAATTTTTAGCAGGACCAAGAGCAAAGAAAGTAAGAGAAAAGTAGTCAGCTTTGGTGTTCGGACGCATTTCCTGTTATCAGGGAAAAAAGATACAACCAGGTCCGCTTACAGGTACCAAGTAAACCATGATGACTCAGCTAACAGTGAAATCCGGCACTTAGATTGTACCTGCTGGGTGATATGCGAAATAGCAACTATGCATGACGAAAGGCAGGTAGAAAATGGTCTTTAAAATGCGACATGACGCCACCGGCTATGAGTGGACATCAGGTAGGATATCCAACGAACGTCCCAGAGTAAAGTGACTCCACCTAATTTTGACCACCAGCCGTATTAAGTTTCGCACGCATCCGAAGATAGTCCTCGCTTGGACAAGCTACTCTTTCCTCGGTCAGGACCGAGTTAATCTAAGTTCAGAGTGGAAATTAACCTTCAACGATGAGTGGAACATTTTTAGTTTCCGTGTTAGTTGTTTGGGTAACTGCGTACAGAAGTTCGTTTCCTAAACAGACATCAGCAAACTTTAGGGATTGCTAACACACACCAACCAGGTTCTATGCGCATGTTCTTAAAGTAACTGCGGTCAAAGGTCGACTGCTATCGAACATAGGTGACAGGTCGATACCTAAATGACACAAACGGCAATACTGGAAAAAACATGGAAAATCTTAGCGTGTACCAGAGCTATCTACAGCTCCTACACACGAGATTATCGTGTCCGGTAACAGCACAATCTGCGTGTGGTTTAGGGCCATCCCAACGTCTAGTCTGTGGTATTGAATGTAAACTCACATGTGAGACCTGAAGTAACATTAGACAATTCCTGCAAGCAGGGAGGCTGATCCAGCGTCTAACATAATTATCCTGCTTCCGATATAATGAGTAGTATAAGCGACACCAGCTTGGGAACACTGAGGCTCGACACGCTGTTCTACGCTAGGACTACTCACTGAGGAAATTTGCCATCCATGGTACTCAAATGCGTCGGCATCATCGTGTTCCCCTTGGTTCACTGACCCTCTAATTCGCACATATAAAACAGATATAGTGGCCCTTCTTTATCCATTCTGTTCTTCGAGCATTAAAAAGGCCGATATGCATATCCAGATATATTTTTCTAGCGTTGACTGATTATGACTCCTCCCAGGGGAAAAATCCTGTGATTCCCTCGGCTTAACTGTTTCATGGTTGGCTGATTACGTTTCGCTGCCGTGGGTATTTGACCTGTTCGGTAGATACAAACCTGTCCGTTTACTCGAGAACTATAGTCTTCAATATAACACCATAACATCCTATTCCCATTGTAACTGTAGGTCATCAACTAAGGGCCTCATGGGCAAACGTGCTGATACAGTTCCTCACTGCAAAAGATGAGTAATGTCTTCCTGTTTTCTTTAAGACTGCATGGACAACAACTCAATAAAGTCATGAGAGAACAAGTTACCGCGTATTGACCAAAGACGGTCGCCCGTTCGTATGTTTATTCTCATGCCTAATTATGCACGTCTACAATACCCGCTAAACAAGCTCCAATTTCCGGTGGTTTGGCATTCCCACATTTAACTCATAGGATACACTTACCACTTCGATCCCCTTACTAATTTCAGGTCCTGGTAGGTTACGGACTAGGTAGATTGAGGACTGATTGCTGTTCGATTAGCAAGTTCACACAATACTGTTTGAACATATGTTCTAAGTTTCATTCGGGTTTTTTAGCCAAATGAACTGATATTTTCATCACCCAACACGATCGTTGACATTTCTAGCTAGGTCTGTAAGTTGACTTGATGTTGGATGCGACTGAATCACAGGTTTTGACGACCTCCACTAGGAAAAAGTGACCTACCTCGTCTCCCTCACCGCAGAAGGATCACTAGTTAAGTTTGCCGAGCACGCATATCCCGTGTGCACATAGGGAACAAAGGCTCGCACAAAAAGTAACCTAATCATTGCTAAGCGTAGTAACAGAACCAGAGATACTGACTACACAAGATATGAACACACCTGTGTGAATCACGTCCGGGAACATCCGAAGAATTCCCAGGCTTTTGGGGAGTTCCAAGCGTGCGACTCCGTTTATTGGAATCGACTGTTGGAAAGATCATTCAAAACATTCAAGGCTTGTAACAAGGCACTGTTACAAATGCGACATAAACTCAAAAAGCAAGCTGTGCTGGAATAAAAAGCATAACCTAAATCTTTGTCGCTAGAGTGGACTTATAGAGAACGTGAGACTTTTAGCAGCGACAGGACAGAAAAGTATAAAATCCGCAAGGGGAAAAAATACGGAATTAGCTGTGCATGAGCTGTGTTTAGCTAGAAATTACTGGAGAACACCTAAGGCCCAAACTGATTTACTTTCTGGAATCGCACTATCGATGGCAATTTATATTTGGTACGGCTGTGATCATGACTACTTTGATCGGCCTCAATTATCTCGCTCCAACTATGCGCGCGTGGCAACCGGCAGCAACAGATCTAGGGCATTAGAGGGGAGGGGAACTCGACCCATTCTTTCCTGTTTCGGAGACCGAATACCAGAGGTAATGAACCATCACTTTCTGACGGATGGTGCTGGATCAGGTTTTAAGCCGAGCTCTTCCGCACCTCAAAGTAGGCAGCTGCACCGGATCGACAGCTGCAACATTAAACTCCTAGAATGGACGAAGAAAGCGCCTAAGCCACACCAGTTACCTTTAACGGCCCAAAATATCCTCGAGACGTTGCAGCGAGCGCATATTGTCCCATCCGATACGATTTCTGCGTTCTTCACTCGCATAATTATTGTTAGGCAACGGTGGTCACACCTGTAGTCGCTCAATTTCTACGCGCACAGAGGCATTCGCAACCGTAGAGAGGGACCGGCTGGATAAATGCTCACTGAACGTAGATCGTCGTGGTGATTAAGATATCGCTTTGGGCCCGTAAACCGTTCCTAAGGATTGCAAAAGCCGTGCCGGCAGCATCCGTTCGGAAGACGGTGTAGCATATACTCTGCCCATTTGGCAACTTCGCCTCGAGAAAATAGAAACCATCTATCCCTTCCAAATGACAGTCATTAGCCCAGATGAGCGTCTTCTACTGGTCGGGAATACAGTTTGAAAACACTGGTCTGCCTACTTTTAACGAACAAACCAGATAACTTAGCAAAGTCGTTCGCCCGCGATACTGCATTCTGCAACTTGACACTAGCATGGTCAAGGTCAGTCAGCCTGCAGCCGGGTGCAAATGCTACACCGTTAAAGCCGCGTAGAGCCCTTCCATGAATGTAGTTAATAACTTAATTGGACGGGATATGCGACAAAATACCTCGTCAAGCTCCGGGTCACATACAAAACGGCCGGAGTAACTGTCACTGACCACAACCCGCGAAGTGGTGGAACGATGGTAGGCTCCGATCATTGCGATTATTTCCGCCGGCAGATAATATAGCTGCATCATTCACCTCAGGGACCAACGGCAAACAGAACGAACGGTTACGGCAAAGTCCACAATGAAGACGACCGTTGATTGCCGGATATCATGGCAAAATTCACGAATACGCCGAATTGCGAATATCTGTTCGATGCATCCACGTCCATCTCGGAATCCGACTATGTTGAGTCCTGTCCTACCACTGCCACCACCTGAGAATGGTAATGGAAAAAACCTTCGCAGCAACGTCGGCGAGGGTTATGCCGCGGCAGTCCTCGTACTGTCTTATATCGCGCCTTGGAGACGGGCACAGAGTTGGTTTAACACCAGTTATCAGGGATGTGGTTGCCTTCTCAAAGTTGCCTGGTAATCACTTCATGAAGCCAGGGCGTCGGAGCGTGGACATAAGGCTGAGTGACGATGCCGCCTTCTTCGGAAGCCTTGTTATTGCATAGCCTCAATAATACATCCATTATTTCCTTTTGGGGATGGAAAATCAGGACAGGAAGCCATATAGGCCGGAGACAAAACCGCACTGAACGGAGGGTGCGTTGATAGTCGATGTGTTTACGTCAGCGCTCGACTATGATTGATTCCTCAGCAGTAACGTTCCCACCCAATGCTAACAGTCACTCGGTGTAGACGGCCCACCACTAACTTGGTGAATAATCTGGTTGCTTACGAATGCCACCGACGTTTGACGCCTGTTCTATGAAGGTCGCCACTTCAGCCCAATAATGCATGTGGACCTCTAGCCGATCCTGACTTAGCGAAAAGAATAATCGTTGCAGGATCTAACGCGAACTGTCGGGGCAGGTAACTATAAGGTCCTTGGGCTGACCCAGTCATCGTGACACCCTTGTGTGGATCCGACAATCCCCTTAGCTGACTCGGACTGAACATTTGCTACTGTTTTCGATAAATTCTCATCGGGCCTGTACATTTATACGGGAACGAGGTACAAACTTAAGCATGTGAGCGATAAGAGCAATCGATTACGGTTTGTCTTTTCATAGAAACGAGGTATGTAATAAAGGGGAGGGGGAGAGGTAGTAGGAGTCAGGTAGAGACGTGTCACAAGGGGGGGAAGGGGAGGGGCGCAGGACATGCATACAGTTAATCGATCCTTGCCCACGGCAGGCGCGGAGCGTGCCCGAGGTTCTTCTGAGTGCACACGACCGGTCTCCGTAGCCCGATGGCAGTCGATTCTGCTGTTTCTAGTAAGCTCTGACCCAGTCGCTTAGAGTAGTTAGGTGGGACCTTGTAAATCACACAGAAGGCCTCGTTGGGATCCATACAATGCCCAGAATCAACCATGTGTGCGAGGATGGAGCTGTGTACGCTCTTCATCTTTTCTCAGCCATGCTAGCAGATGTTCTCGTATTCTTGTGAATAGGTGCCGACTCGTACGACCAATATAGCCTGCCCCGCAGGAACAAGTAAAGGAGTAAATGCACATGGACGTGGTCTGAGCTGGTAGCCTATCCTGACCTTTGCCGCGTAAGACGGGGTTGGTCAAAAACAATACTTGAGACGACTTGGTCAAGGCGCCTTCTCAGTTCACTAGCCGCGTCTCCTTGAAAGGGGACTTGAAAGAACAGAATTCTCTTTTCCGCCGTCGGTATGTGTTTTGCCGGTCGTTCGGCTTTATTCCTTAACTCGGACTGCAGATGCCGGATTTTGTGCTCAGAGCCTCGGTTGTGTTGTGTTGTACTTTTGTGAAACCAAAGCGTCTTGCATGACAAATTCTTGGCGAGCTTGTACAAACAAGAACATGGTTTGACTCAGGCCTCGCCAGTTGCAGCCCCCATAGATTACTTATCATGGACCCGACTACGAAACATAAACTGATTAAGACATAATTAACATGACTGGTCGTACGATCGTCGTTGGAACGCGTGGTGGCTGGATGGTAGTTAGCCTTGATCAGGCCGATGATTTTAGATGGCACACTATCTGGTTCCATCATTCGTCACATGGACTCACAATTAACGGAATCGAAAGCAGCAGCGAAGCCAACAAAGCAGACGGTTGCCGGTTGTTGGTGGCTATGGCGGAACTCGAGTGTGCCCCGGTGTGAGTATCTAGTCGGCACATTCACGCCCAGCTCGGAAGTCGGCCTGGTTACGCCTCGTTTTAGTCATGCACAGCCTGGAATCGCGTGAGGACAACGGTGAAGACCTTCGCAGCAACGTCGACGAAGCTTATACGAGGGTGGATCTCGCATTTTGTCTTAACAGCCTTCCCGCAGACAGGAACAAGGATGCCAGAGCCCCAGTAATCAGGAGCGACCTCGTTTTTCCACGCTTGTTCAATCACCTCATGGAGCCAGGGCACGAGGATGTCAGCACAAGACTTGTAGATTTCAGCGAGAGCGCAAGCGTGTGATGAGTTGCTTATCAAAGTTGAAGTGCTTGAAGTGCTTACGCCAGTGATCGATCTTGATTGAGCTGTCAGCAATGAAACCGCCGTTTGCATCGCGAAGAGAGTCGTTCAGTGTCGAGGGTTTACCACTAACTTGGCGGATAATTTTGCACATTTCGAATGTCACCTACGTCTGAGTCCTGCTCCATGGAGGTCGTTATTTCTGCCCTATATTTCTTCCGGTCAGCCCTAGCCGATTTTGCCGTCATTTGCGGAGCTTGCGGAGTAAATCCATTACGCGACCCGGCCTTAGCAGTTTGACCAGACAACTACAAGGTTCTTCCGCTGATCTAGTGACCGCGGTGTCGCTGGGTGAATCCAAGAATTTCCTCGGCTGCCCCATAGATCAGCAACTTTAATGATGATCACTGACCACTGTCTTCTCCGACGGCTCGGGTCGTAAAACGGCCGGATTTATCTGCTCGGGATCTCGGTAGTGATGTGCTCTCAACGCTTGGCAACATCGAGGCGTTTTTAATGCGGCGTTTTGGGTGCAGATATGACTGACCGTATGACCATTGTTTGAGTACCAGGTCAGGAGATGTTTGCGTCGATGTTGGATGCACGTCTTAGTGACAAATAGTCGGTTCTGATCAGAAAAGTTCAAGATTCTCTCAGCATTGTCACATCGGGAACCAAGCCCAAAGAGAGCAATAAGGTGACTGTTGGAAGAGTCGTCAGGTCCAGCTCGGTCATTCCAGTCCCCGGCAACAATCAGCAGATCACGGCGAGGGTCTCCAACCAATGTCTGCAGCCGCAAGTAAAAAACATCTCTATCGCACTGTTCGGCAGCTGATATTGGTGCGTACACGGAAACGACAGCGATGTTCGTAAAGAGACCGTTCAGTCGCACATAGACTATGCGGTCAATGATTGACTCCCAAACAAGTAGTGAAAGACTTGTTTGTTGCGAGAGGGCGACTGCCACAGCGTGTCTTCTAGAAGAGTCGCGTGGGCCGCTCTGGTAGAGAGTCATGTGTGGGTTGACACCTGCTGCCCGAGGTCCGCAACTGCTTATTCGCCAGAACCGAGAGAGCTTATTTTGTAGCTAACCTTTGCTGAAGACCATTCCACTATCCGCCGCCTGCGGACGCGCTGGTTAGCCAACAACTAACGGGTAGCCTGTATTTAAACCAATTATTGTAACTGCGTGCAGGTGCTTCCTCTACGGCTCCGATTCGTAATTGATGTTGGCGCGTGCACGGAGACGATCGTAATTCTATGAAAGTGCCCCGTCGGCCGTACGATTTTTTGGTTTGATACAGATGCGACCACACATGGTGCTGAAAATTGTACCTTCCCACGCGACCATCTGCGCCAGAGGATCTAGGTGGCCCGATGCATTCTCTCCTCTAGCGAAGGAGGCCGAATACAGAAGACTCAAGAACAACTTCCATTCCTTGGTTAACTGTATCGAACTAGGTTTTTTGCTGACCTCGTAAACGTCCTCGGGTGGGCAACAGCATCGGAGCAAGAGCAACACCGAGGTAATGCGGCGGAGAATAAACGTGCCTAAACCACCCCAGTCGTCTTGGATGGTTCGAAATATCCCCACAGCAAATCCGGACTGCATACGGAGGTCATCTGGTGAATGACTACTTCCCACACAAGCAATGTACGGTTTGCCTGTTGAGAAATGGCACCCGTCACACCGTTGCTACCAGGATGACCGCGTATGCCGCTGTAATAAAAGGCGAGGTAAGTTCATTCTGGGCTCTTGATTTCCAAAGAGTCTGAGTTGGGAGCTGGAACTTCAGACACGGTTCAGACACCCACATTGTACTTAAGGCTACGCGGTCAGAGCTCGAGTAGTTGAGTTGGGGAACGTGCGCACACTCTACCATAAAATACACAGGGCACGGCCTCGACTAAATAGTCCAACGCGCATATTATTCGCCAGTATAATTGGCCTAGGGCTGTGGAGCGTGTCGGCTCCCTCGGACATCGTAGCACGGATCGTAATATTTGGATCAGACATTCCTCATGAGCTTTCTTCTGAATGTTGCGTACAAACAAGTTTAACGAGGTCGTTCAGATTATTTGTTTCGGGCTGTCTTCTCCGGCACCTTGGTGGAAGCGTAAACCCTATGGCAGTGGTGGCAGGCTGGCTTAATAAATGACAGTTCACAGTCGAAATCTCACAATAACCTTATCAGGACTTGTGGCACTTCTTAGTGTAACCGGCGTTGTAGAGCTCAGTCCAGCGCCCTGGTGGTACTGAAGCGGCTTGTCAGACACAAGATCGAGCTTATCGTGCAAGCAACTTTTGTTAGCGAAAATTCCACTGGCCACCACTCGCCGATTTGTCAGTAGCCACTTCTACGATTAGCGCGTTTTCCTTAGACCTGCTACACTGAAAGACGTTTTATCTGACATCCTAGTAATCATATGCTCGGTCCAGGCTTGTATGAAACAGACGATTGCGAAATACGGATGCTCACAATTGATCTAGTGGTCAGGGTGCGTAATAAGACCCTGGAGAAGGATACTGAAGGCTGTTCGCGAACGGAGCATCCCAGTACGCCTTGGAGATGACAACTATCACGCAACCATTAATAAGGAGTGAGTGAGACTACGAGGATCTACAGCAACATTAATGACGGTCTCCGGAACGAGAATTGCGATGGTGGCGAGAACGGCGGGTCAAAACCGTAGATAGGCAAACCACAGTGAAGAAAACAGGGTGGCCACAAAAGGGACGGCAAGTTTCTTAGGAGTGAACCTAACATGGGGATGGAACTTACTGGGCACGTGCAGATCATCACCTGGATCACAAAATTCCTGAGAGTCCGGTTGGAAGGTATCAAAATCTGTGATGCTCCGATCCATCGAATCCAAACTACCGGAGCTGGGAATCCTACGCAGACTGTCGGAACCTGGCGGCCTGTTCTGTTCGTCGGACATCAACGTGCCCGAGGAGTCCATTGGCAGAAAAGGCATACCCGAATTCGAGTAGGACGGGACAGGGGGCAGAGAGGCAAGAGGAGTCTCAAAGGCCGCAAAACGCCGTTTGAGGACGAAGAATGGCCTTTCAGGTACATCAGCAGAATAAGGTTGACGTCGGCGCGAAATGACACGGCTGTTGTTGAAGAGATGACCGGAACGAAGTTTGGTACGCCGTTCTACATTTTGGTATATGTTTAAACGTCCAAACTTACTATCAAGTCTGTTTACAGCTGAACTGTTCCGCCCCAAGAGTGTATGGATGCCTAGTAAGCATAATATTAAGAGGAAGCACAACTCACGGTGCTCAATCTTCGAAGTCACGCCGGAGTTGTCGGCTTCTAGTTCAAGCCGAAACTTCCCCAGCTCTGCATCCAGTTTCCTTACAACCTTCCTGTACTGCAAAATGGTTTATTCCGGAAAAGGAATTACTAGTTCGTATAAGTTTCGAACAATCTCTGTTTTCTTTGAAGAGTGTGCCAAGGCCTGGTCGTACAGCTACAGGACTCGGATAACGCTTCCGACGACTTACATTCAAAATTCTCTCATATTCGATTTCTTTTTCCTTGTTAGATAGTCTCGAAAGCTTGCAGTTTTCAAAAAGTGTGTTTATTAGCCCACTGACGGGCTCTAAGGTGGCTAACAGGCGACCTTATTCAGGTTACGAGGACAAAAATACCCTGAGTCTGACAGTCAATGTCGCGCAGATTTGTGAGTGTTTCATTAACTTCAGCAGGCAGGCTCTCGATGGCTAATTTAAAAGGATAATCTTCTACATTATTTAGGCATTTTACCCTCCATAAAGTCTTCAAAGTACAACATCTCTTGCGGCAACTGAAACACGGGAAAACTTAAACAACCGGGCTAAGTACGAGACCGGCTCGACAACTTCGAAGGCAGCAAATTCCGGATCTCCGAGCCGTCTAGTGCCAACACACTCAAATATGCGAAAACCGTTCTAGAATAATCGTTGAAGGTCGCGCAGCGAAATCGAACCCGTGAAGTTTTAGTCAAGGAATAGCAAGTAGATGGTTGCAACTTGTTTTTTTGGAATCACGTTGCCTTCGCGTCTGTTTTCATGGGAGGTGAGAGAATTTCCTCGGCAGAGGCCCCGTAGGCATTTATACAAGTCCTCGCAACTTTTTTCTAAATTCCTCTGCCCTCAGAGCGGCCTGCAAATAAGGGTCAGCATGACTTTGTACATGAGATGGTTTATAGGCACGTAGCCACCTCCAACCCGCCTCCAACCCGACCAAAACGGGCCAAGTTAGGCTGATGCTAGCAGGGACTTCTCGCCTACTCAAACACACAATGACCTGCTATCGGCCGATCGTATCCTCCCTGTTTCAGTAGTCCGTTGTCTCTGCCACATCTACGCGACAGGACGGCGAAGTCGCCCAGAATGGTTGGATACGGTGATGAGATGGGCAGCTAAAGACGTGGGTTGGCGTGGTAGAGATGACGCCGAATTTACCTAAGGGGAAGCTTTCTTCAGTCTTCTAGATTCATT